ATTTACCCTTACTTTTACCCATTGCCCTTACCTTATTGCTACCCCACTACCACGCCCTACCCTACCTTGCCCCGACCCTAACCCCGACCACCGACCCCCCCACCCTGACCCTTACCCCACATTCCTTCCCCAATCCCGACTCCCACCTTACAGAACCCCTACCCTACCACCCCAGCCCCCTACCCCCTTACCCCTACCCTGATCCCTCCCCCACCACCTTACCGAACTCCTACCTTACCATCCCAGCCCCTACCCCCTTACCCCTACCCCTTTACCCCCTACCACCTTCCTCTACCTTGACCCGACCCCACCCTCTTCCCCCCGACCCTACTCCTTTACCCCACTTGTACCCCTTACCTCGACCTTACCCCAACCCCGACCCCACCACTCCCATTACCATACCCCGACCCCAACCCTTTTACCCCATATCATGTTGGAAATTTTGTTATTTCAAATAAACAAAATATTTTGAACAAATCACTCTTGAGTAACCGAAAGGGTAATTAACACTCTAATTAATTGGGTGGAGCCAAAGCAAAATTAGGAACAGATGTTTTTCATTATTTGCTCCTATTTATTAGGATCACCAACAACCATATTCTTCCTTTTTATATGGAGCAATAATCCCTCATAAAAGATACACACGCACACTTTGTCTTCTTGGAGAGAAAAGAAAGGAAAAACAACTTCACAAAAATGTTTTCATCAAAAAGCTTGTGCTGGATTATTATGATGTTGATTTCCCTTGTAGTTCTGGTTCCGACTCATGGTCGAAGGGCTCGTTATATACTGGGGGAAGATTTCCATTCACCGGAAATACTTTCCGAGGACGGCGTTTACGCGTCTCGAGCCACATTGTTTCTTGTTATTCTCCTTTGCAGGTATGTTTATTATGGACTAGTCACATTACTGGAGTGGACAAGGTGCTGCCATTTTCCGTAGATAGAGGGAGAAGCTCTTCGCCGGAGTTATACGTGTCCGTCGGCTACAACCGGACAGCCAGGAGCAAGTGACGATGAAGGATTATCCCCAACATATCACCTGCCCCTACCTCGACCCAATCCCTATGAGTGGGTGGGGGTTAGGGGGTATGGGTGGGAGTAGGGGTGGAGGGTAAGGTCGTGGTATGGGTAGGGGTAGGGAGGGAGTGGGGGTCAAGGGCGTGGAATTTGGGGTAGGGTGAGAGGTGGGGGTACAAGGCAAGGTACGGGTTAGGGGTGTGGGTAAGCGATTAAGAGTACAAGGTGACCTCACATATTATATTATATACTTGTGTTCATAAATGTTTGTATGTGTATATATCTATAGGGTTATTTTGGACATTTTAATGTTAAACGGTGTTTTAAATCATTTGAAGTAAACATGAGCTTACAACACTCCTTATTTTATGCGCCGCTTATTAACGCGAGTCTTAATAAGCACAGTTTACTAACCTGTGAAGTAAACATGTCCCTTTACCATACCCCGACCCCTACCCCTTGAAGTAAATGCGAGCTTTAAATCTCTTTCCGTTAGTCTTTTAAAAATCGGAAAGAGAGTAATAATAAGGATAAAATTGCAAGGAAGAGATGTTGAACGGGAATGAAGATCAAAATTGGTCTCATTCCCAAGCTACATACTCCCTCACTAAAAGGAGAAATGTTTTCATTTCAAAAGTATATAGATTCAGAACAATGAAAGAAAAATGAAAGCGTATTATTTTCGTTACAGACGAAAAAAGAAAGTGGAAAGATTTTTTGGTTACAAAGGGATACTAACAAATATAGGGAATAATGTTACTCATTAGGATTTAGGGCATATTGTTACAAAACTTATGTGCATGGAGCAATTAGGAGTGCAATTTTGTTTACCCCTCTAATGAGGGTGAACATCACCCCCTTCCTTCATTGGTTGCCATGTGGCTTCTCATTCCCTTTTTTCCTTTAAATTAATTTAACTTTTTATTTATTGGTCAAATTTTATAAAATAATATATCAGATTTAATAACTTGTTATGTTCTTGCTAATGGTATCCATATTGCATACATATAAAAATTAAAAAAAAAATATTTTTTCTTACATCTATTTTAAGTCGATTTTTTTTTAAATTTTACATATACAATATTGGTATCATATGAAAGATCATAAAAAATTAAAAATATTGATATATTTTTGGAAAAGATTGAACCAAAAATGCAAAACTTATAGCAATTGCAAAAGATAAAGTATTGTCATGACATGTGACAACCCAATAGGGGTGAACAAAATTGTTCTCGTCAACTACTCCGTATTAGATCACTTGGAGTGGTGTAGGATTAGGAGTCCAAAATGTTAAAAGTGAAAATTTTGGACTCCTAAATCCTTGTTGTGGTTGGCTAAACGAGGGAGTAAAAATGGAGAAGGGGATGTAGGGGGTATATTTGAAGGGTGTCAAGGAGGGAGGCTAAAAGAAAAAGGAAGGGGAGTGATGTCATGCAAATGTCATCCTTGCATCATTATTTCTCAATTTTTTAAAAAACTTGTAAAACTTTTTTATTTTTTCTCCAATTTTTTCAAAAAATATATCAAAATTCATAAATTTTTATAATCTTTCATATGACACCAATATGTGATATATAAAATGAAAAAAATTGAAATTTTAATTGTTGAAGTTTTCTCGAACTTCAAAAAAGTTTCATTTTGGGCCTCAAATTTCGTGTTTTTTTGGGGCTCAAGAAAACTTTCTAAAATAAATTTCAATATGTAATTCTAAAAACTTTCTAAAATAAATTTCATTAATTTTTTAAAAGTTTTTTTGTTAACAAAAAATGAATTTAATTCATGTAAAGTTTGATTAACCAAAAAATTTTAAAGAAGATTAATGAAATTTATTTATTTTCACATCGAAATGTGTCTTTTTTATTTTATAATTAATCAGAGAAAAAAATAAAAGGAAAACATTACTTATAATAATTTAATCAATGTTTTACTGAAATGACATGTAAAAAAATATGCAGTGTGCATTTTATTCTCTGTATTTCTCTGCTGAAATACAGAGAAATGAGAATCAAAATATTGTTTTGATACGGAAGGAGTCCATTTTTGAGATAGACGCGTTTTGGTGATGCCTATGAGCTGAAAAAAAAAGCACAACTACATAATTATTTTTTCATTTATTAGACAATAACTTACAATGCAGTCCTACAATCCTGCTGATAGAGCCAAAAAAAGTCAGACACAGGGTTAGATTGACAGGCATTATAGATAGGCTTGAGAAAAAAAATACACTTCGTATATTCCTTTGCAACCTCTGACTAACTTCCCCACTATCCTGTCAGATCAGGTTTGGGGGTTCTTGGGGTGAGAAATTCCACCTTTTGGAACAATTGCAACATTAACTCCTCTCTTGAGTCTTGACATATACGGAGTAGAGAAATTATAGTGTAAAAACCGTGTGACCAAAAAGTTATACTCCCTCTGTCCCCTAAAAGGATCGCCAAGTTTGACCGGAATGTAGAATAATAAAGTAAAAACTGTGTGGTACAGATTTGTGCAGAGAAGAGAGAAATAACAGGAATCACAAATTGATTGACTAAAAAGGAAAGTGGCAAAGTTTTTGGAACAACAAAAAATGAAAAGTTGACAATGAAAAGTTGACAAAGTTATAAGGGACGGAGGGAGTACATGAAATATGAAAATCATATACTACGGAGTAGTAAATTATACTCCCTTCGTCCCGCAATGAACTTCTCACTTTCCTTTTTTGGATATCCCATAAATAAGTTCCCATTTCCTTAAATGACAAGTTAATCTACATCAAAACAGTGTCAAACAGTACAAAATAGTGCCAAACAGTGTCGAAACAATGCAAAACAGTGGCAAACGGTGTCGAAACAGTGTCAAACCAGTAAAATTTACCCCATGGTAAGTTTATTTCCTTAATATGTGTGTAGGTCAAATTGTGAAGTTCATTGTGCGACTGAGGGAGTATATTCTTTGAACCCGCTGAGAGCTGGTCCCAAATTACCTCCGCTGCTAGGCGCCCGACTTCAAACCCATGTGTGTTGCTTCCATCTACTATCCGCCCCAACAATAGAGCGTCCTAAACCTGTCCAAACTACAGACCAGAGCCGTCGTGAAAGAAAGCACAACCGCCAGACTCCCAAAGATCCCTAGACTCCGCAAGGCCTGTCCGCCTTTATAATCTTCTTCCAGCAGGTCGTCGGAAATCTACCTTAGTAAAGTTGCGGTGAAAGGAATCGTAATACTGAGGGAAGAAGAATAATTCCGCCTCCCCTATTGGAAAACTCCGATCACCGCTCCAGGGTCCCGTCATTTCAATTTACACCGTCAATTTCCTTTTGATCATCTTTTTAATGAATTGTTATAACTTGAAAAACACCACATTTCAATATAAGATTAAATTTGAATAACTTCTTCATTTGGTTAACAAAAAAGTTCACTTTTTTTCTTTATTTGGTCACTATATTTTACTCTCTCCGTCCCGCTAACAATGGGACAAAAAAGAATCGCACGCAAATCAATAAAAAGTAATTTATGTGGTTGATATTGAATTGATAAAGTAAGAATAAAGTAAGAATGATTTAGAACCACACAAACTTTACCAAATTTGGTATAGGACAATCTTAGTGGGACGGACCAATAAGGTAAAATGGGACAATCATAGCGGGACGAAGGTAGTAATTTACTAGAAAACAAAAAATTAATAACAACTACGGTGAAAAATAGTTTGAAAACTTTGCATTCCTACATGGGGCATTGGAGGCTTCCTTTGCTTTTGGTACGGCAGTTGGGAGTCAAAATGGGTGGAGAAATATCCCCTCCGAGCGCAAAATTTCTAATATGATTTGATCTAAAAGATGTTTGTTTCATGCGTACATTACAAGTGTGGAAGTCTTATCTGATTTGTTTAAGCTTAATCTGACCTATGACCGAAACCAATCCAATTAAAATCATTCGTATATTGGGTGTAGAGTCAATAAACCAAAATTGATTTTTCAGTCTCCTATCCACTCTAGGCCATGCAGACGATTAATTGACAGGAAGAGAGAGCATTAATAAGAATGAAAATGCCCCAAATAGATGAAGATAAGATCAAATAATTGAAAAACAATTATAACTGTACCAATTCACATATTATATACAACACCACGTAGTGAATATAGTCACTGATTACTTTGATTAGGGAACGTTGTTACAAAACTATTCTGGAAGCGGCAATGATTATTAATCTTCCACGGACAGGTATACATGTTGCCTTGCCATATCCAAGCTTTTGGTGATGCCTATGAACCTGAAAAAACAGGGCGTTATTTTTCATCCATGAAACAATAAGATTACTACTGTGTCTTGTGCATGGTAGATCCATCTCCAACACATCATTTAATACTTAGGCATTATAATTTATTATCAAATTCAGCAGATAATATTGTAATTTGGCTGATATAGCCGAATATGCTGAACTTTCTAAAAGGAAAAAAGCATTTAGTAAATTTAATTCAGCAAAATAAGTTAGTCTAAAGCCAATTATTAGTAACCAAAATAGGCTCTATGCATGTAAGAGAGTGCTGGGGGGGGGGGGGGCATAAATCTAGCATATTATTGCTTTAGAGTGCATGGATTCCATGAAATGATGATCATAATACTAATCACAATGATAATAATCACAATAATAGCAATTGCGATTATTATCATTAAATTTCAACCATACATTAAATTTCAACCATACAGCGTTTTTTATTCTTTTGCTATGTTTGATGTGTCGGTTGAAGTTGTCAAACCTTTTATGTACAAAGAAGATAGTAAGTTAGTCATTGTAGTTGGAGGTCGTGTATATGATCTTATGAGCATTTTAGTGTCTACCTTCATTAACCTTAATCTCCAGAAGCTCTTCAATGGTTTGACGGCATATTGGACACTTGTTTGATTGAAGTCTTAAAGTCTTGGCGCATTCACTGCACAGACACTGCAAGCAAAACAAAGGGAGCCAAAACTGTCAGACAAAGAGTTAGACAGAGACACGCATTATAGGCTGGGGGGAGACATAGCAAATATACAATTCAAAAGAGAGTTACCACTGAGTCATTGACTAAGGTACAACTTTTAAATTTTCATAAGGTACAACTACTATGAATCATATAACTGAAAGCTGATTGTTGAATTTTACACAAGAAAATGAAGGAAAATATGGGTTAAAAAGATCTGGGGTTGGACTAGCTAATAGTTTGAATTCAATCTTTTAGTGTAGTTAGGCTGAAGTAAAACTTAGGGTCAAACTCGGTAACCTCAATTCAATTCTGAGTTTTATCACGGTATCTGAGCAATCCCGACTCCCTATTAACAGCCACGCAGTGCGGTTCAAGGAACAATTACTCGGACCCGACAGCACAAATACTACTTAGCTGTCCCTGGATCTTAGTACCCTGCCGACAATCCCTGTTGGCCTGTGCTTTCTGTCTTTCAATGTAGTCGTTGCGTTCGAGCTTCAGTTCCACAAGAAGTCAAGCTCCAAGTGAACAACTTGTTTAGTTCAAAATAGCCCGGTTGTCTACTTGAGGGGGGTGCTATAATCTCACACACGAAAATGAAGGAAAAATAATAGGTTAAATAAGATCTTGGATAGAACTAGCGAGAACCGGTTGACCTTGATCTTTTATTGTGGTCTGTTGCAACTCGCAGGTGCGTTATGGCCTGAGTGACCCCAACCCAATCCTGAGTTTTATATTAAAACTTGGTTCTTAATTCTTGTAATGCTTCACATTTGTAAAAGCACCCAAAAGGAATAGTACCCACTCAAACTCCCAAAAACTTCAGGGTTCTAATGTTCATAAATTGCTTCCCAAGTCTGACGAGAAACCTGATATCTTACCAAATGTCATCAATCAAATTTAGATGGGGATTTTAAAATGCAAACAGAGTGCACCAAAATGCCAGGCCTCCAAAGAGGAAAAAAACATACAAACGTAAACTTTTATAGGAGGGGGAGACTCCGAGCTACCATTTAACATATACCTTCCTACTTATTTGAATAGAGATGCAGACACATGATGTTTTTTTTCGCTCCTTGGAGGCCTCAAAAGAAAGTGTTTTAGCAGACTCTAGGCAATAAGAACTGAAACATTGTCTAAATGGTACAAGTTGTCATAATGATATCTAATATGCTAATCAAGCAGCAATAGTCTGTCCCTATATAGACAAGCACATCACCAATGATATTCTAACAACTATTTCTACACTGAGGGAGATCATGTGACATGCCATTTCTTCATGAATTACACTTTAAGAAAAAGTGCAGTCTGCAGGTATTGAAAGAGGATACTCTTACCATATGTCTACAAGGCAAAACTGCTGTATCCTTTGGTTCAGTCATGCAAATGACACATTCTTTTCCCGAGTCATCATTTATGGCTGCCTCATTCGGTTTGCCAATCCCAAAAATTTCACGCAGCTCATAACGGACCCCCTCAACCCACAATATCTGCTTCACAACTTTCACTTGAAAATTATCATCGCTGTGCCTCTCTATAACAGCCTCTGTGATTTGAGCATGCATAAAATTATTGGACTGTAGCTCATCGAGAGCATGTTCCTCAACCGATGTTGATGGCAGACATGACTCTGCTAATATAACAAGTGGGAAAGCATTTTCTCCAGGTAGGGGTCTCGATAGGTCATTTATGTCAAAGAAGCCCAAATCAATGCCACTTCCCGCAGGCTGGCAAAACTTTTGGCCCAATCCTTTCTGGAAAGGTACTCTCACTGGTTTTATCTCTGTGTACACTGGAGTATATTTACAGTTGGTCCCTTCCTTACCAAAGTATAAAATTGAAATGCTGCAATTACAAACGAACTACGAATGAGAGTATGTAAGACATTTCACATTTATATTCTGCATAAGGCATCAAAAAGTGGGGTGGGCTAGGAGGCACTGAAACGAATTTTGAAATTATCAATCATGGATTTATAATGCAAACAATCATCTTTAACTTTTAATGAGGCAGAATTTAAATGAATGAGTTGGCACTTTTCTTGTGCCATAGTTGTTATTTTTTTATACACCTGAATGATTTAGGCACTTCTCTTGTGCAGTAGTTGTTATTGAGACTTGAATTCCATCTAAAAGATATTATTTTATATTTAACCATATTAGACAAACACTCCAACATGCCCTCTCCGTCAAAACCGGATTGGATAGCTTGAAGGGTAATAAAAGGGTCAAAGTGATCATATTTGTTGGTTTATTATTTTATTTATTTAACAAATGCAAGACAAACACTATAAAATTGTTAAGGACACGATGCACGCATAAGCACTAACAAGGCCTTGTACCCTGAGGCGCATGAGAAGTGTGGGCTTATTAGTGGAAAAAGACTTTACTGCCTTATCCGGATTATTATACGGTGTGATCCTTGACTGGATAAAAACTCATCACTTATTAATGGAAAAAGAAGGAAACAAAATGAAGGCTAAATAAAAAGAAGAACCTTACAAGTTAACAATAATAAGTTCCTGAGAGACAATAAAAAAACTGAAGCTCCTATTTCTTTAGTCTATAACTCTATACACATGTTTAACTTTACAAGCCTATTCCTCATACTGCCTCAAGGTTTAAGCCTCACCTGCCATAGAGAAAAAGGTCTGAAGTGTTAATTTCCCTCAAACATGGCAATGATCGCAGGTCTGAAGTGTTATTTTGGCTCCAAACAACAAATCTCCTAAACACTTCAAATTTCAAAACGATGTTTTGTCTGTTCTCTAAAAAGGGCTTTTCAAACAGCAACCCAGACACTCAACAAAGTTTCGGCTTTGAAACCACAATGTTTTCAAATTTCATACAAAAATATGTTTTGAAAACACGTGGTTTTCAAATCATAAAACATGTTTTCTTGCAATAGTGATTCGGCTTATAATACCATTTCACCCAATGATGAAGCTATAAATATTGTACATAGTATTAAAAAGGCCCGGTTTAGAAAATTGTCAAAACTTCATATTTTACAGTGCCAAAAAGCAAAGAGAAGGATTAATATTTCAATATGTTTTTATAAATTACAAATATATGTTCATATATAGATACACACACACATAGTAGGAAGAGATTTGAATCTCTGTCTAGCCTCTCCATGTCCCTACCACTGGTTTCACTCCACAGCTAACCTACTTAAGCATAAACATTAACCTAATGCAATCAATCTGAAGTACATAATCATTTTAGAATATACTCCAAACATTTTGTACGTCAAAATGGTATAAACAGATATTTGAATTATACCTTCCATCCACCATTGCATCGAAAATAAAAGACACCAAATGGCAATCCTTATTGAGCATATCAACTTCTAGCTTTATAGTATCTTTGTGCACATTTACGTCATTCTTGATCTTCTTTGTGTTCTGGTGATCTACATAGGGAACTGCCGGTAAGGGCGGAGGCGGTGGCGGAGGGGGCCGGGACCCATACCATCCATGAGCTTGTGGTGGGTAATAGGGGGGGTGGTAATTGCTATGGTAAATAAAAGGTCGGTTGGTTTGATTGTAGCCATGATTGAAGGGACCTGTGGACTGACGCGTGTAAGGATCGGGGATCGAGGAATAAGGGTTCTGGGAGGGAGCAGGATAGGGTGAACTAGCTCCGAAAACAACGCACGGTAGTGCCGGCTGAGGCGGAGGGAGGGGCGGAGGAGGACTGGATGAAGATGGAGGTTGCTCTGGCGGTGGAAGTTGCGAGAGAGACGGCGGCGGAAGTTGCGAGAGAGACGGCGGTGGAAGTTGCTGCTGCGGATGCTGCTGCTGTCGTTTACTCCATGAAATTCCCATCTTCCGGCGGAGGTTCGCGGTAACGGTGGCGCGTGCAAGCGGTGGGGAAAGGAGTTAACGTGCGATCGGCGAGAGAATCAACGGAAACGAATTAAACCGAAAGGAAAGTGGGGCCACGCGGGTTTGGATTGTTGCCTTTTCTGGGCATTTCTGGTCTAGCGGATCATATGTATGGGTCACCCGGAAAAGTCAATAGTCGGTGTCGGGTGGTTCTCAGTTTGGAGTTTGGGTCCAGATTGACCCGTTTAATGCATCATGCTTTTGCTTCATCCCGTCATTCCCATGCGAATTTAGAATTCTTCAACTTCAGCCCCATGTCAATTGTTTTAAAATGGAATTGAGCAAAAGTGATAGTCTCTCCTTCCCTAAATAAAAGCATATGTTTCCTTTTTGAACCGTTCCTAAATAAAAGTTCCTTTTTCTTTTTTGACAAACAAAATAGTGCAAAATAGTGCAAAACAGTGTCAAACTATATCCAAATAGTGTCAAACAGTACCAACCAAACCCACTTTCTTAAAATGTGTGGAAAACGAATGGATACTTTTATATAGGGACGGAGGGAGTATATTGGCTATGTTTGGCTATTGGTGTTTGAGCCTAGTCGCCAATAAACATCTATCTATAATCTATATACAGAGCAAGGTAGAAAAATGATCAAATTCCCGCTTAAAAACGTCACAGTTATGGTAAAAATAGTATTGCATTAAAAGTCTATACAACTCGGATCTCCTAAAAGATGGACCAAAGTTTTCTACTATATTAAAAAGGCAAAGCATTGGTCGATCAACCGCAATGCATCAACATCAATGGAGGGCCAAAGACCCCCGCTCGACCTTTGACCCAGCAAGACGGTAACGACAAAGGGGGGTGAGGAGTCTGGTGAGGCGAGTGAGAGACTGGCAGCATCGGAAGTCTACAGCTTGCGGGCTTCATGAAGAACGGTTTGGGGCTTTTGGTGTTAACGTGCGACCAAAATAATTTTTGGACTAGGTACATTGTAATTTTTTATAATATATACTATATATAAAAAAAACATCCTTATAATGTATAGGTTAATCTCATTTTCAGACTCATCTTTATTTTGATAAATGTTGTTGGTAATAATGTCTATGAGGAGCTCATCTGGTAACAATCAAAATCATGAGTTATTTTAAAGCTCAATTGATGATATTCCCGCCATTTAGTTTTTCTTTAGTCATATTTTTGATACATGTATTTTGTTACCGATTTTATTTAACAAAATACAATATGGAATAAGGACACATATATTACCTATAATTTTGTGAAATACAAAAACATGTTCATTTTTATATCTCGACAAAAAAGTGACTAGATCTACATTCTTGTTCTAACGCCTCATTCTTCCTGTTGGTTTTCAACCCGTCCTTCTCTTTCTTATGCATCCCATTCACCTATGGCCTACCACCCTTCCATCCTCCATAGCCGAACTGATTCCCCTCCATCTCCGAACTTCTGCTCGCGAGCTTCGACCTCCACAATCAGACATGACCTGCGTAGAGGCTCCGATTCAGACGGTGAGGTGACGACGATGTGGCTGTGGTGATAGAAGTGACCTTGGAGACGACGGATCTGTAGCTCCACCTCTGTGAAGCTTCGATTGCGACGAAGATGGCACAATTAGGGTGAGATGACGACGGCGTGGCTGCTGACATACTTCTTCTTCCTCTCCTATCTTAGTCTACAGTAACTCGCCCCCAAATCTAGAGCTCATCCTCTACAATTGCTGATACACCCAATATTTAACAATCAAACAACCATAACAAGAAGAATAAGCAGATAGAAAGATATCGAGAAGATTAAAACTGAATCTGGTATACCGTATGAAACCCCGCTGCTCTCCCTCGAGAAGGAGAGCAGCGGAAACCCTTCTTTCTATCTCGCCTCTACGCACTCTAAGTCTCTTTTCGATCCTTAGGGTTCCCGTAAGTTAGCTTCCTTTTATAGGAGAAGTTGGCTAACTTATGGGTTACAAGTGAGCTAATGGGCTGATACACATTTGTGGCCCATATTACACATCTAAATGCTAACTACACAAATACACACAAATACAAAGATGTTTAATCTAGATTGGACACCATAAAATATTCCTAACAATCTCCCCCTTGGTGTTTAATCTAAATGCTAACTACACAAATACACACAAATACAAAGATGTTTAATCTAGATTGGACACCATAAAATATTCCTAACAATCTCCCCCTTGGTGTTCAATCTTGTTAACTCAGGATTGCAACGCGAATATCTTTGTTTGTGAACTTCAGTGTAGCTCAGCTTCTTTGTCTTTGAACTTGACTTCTTGGAAGGGCATTCTGAAGAAATCATTGCAATCTCCCCTTTGATGTCTTCTTGAAAATTTGATCTTTGATGCTGGGGTTGAGGAATCTTCAATATCTTGCATGTAGTCCATGTCTTCCACAAGTTGCTCTTGATCAGCTTGAATGAGGTCCGGTGGCGCCTCTAGAATGAATGTTCTTTTGATTTCCAGACGCGCACGGGGTTCATCTGCCGTACGAGAGTATTTGACCTTTGTCTCCTCCACAATGTAGTCTTTTTGACTATTTGGAATGAATGCATTTGAGAAGAACTTGTCGGTGGCACAGCGGAACATAATGATTGTTGATTTGTGAGTGTAGCTGACCATTTGATTTGAGTTGTAGAGATAGCAGAGAAGGTATTGATTTTTGTGATGGAGTAGTGAAGTGTCCCATAATGATTTGTTCAGTGTTAACAACATGTGGACCACTCTCCCCCTCATGACGATCCGATGAATCGGGACGCCATGCTTTTATTCTTTTATTATGCGGAAATAAAACAGGAAACAAACAGAAAGAGTAAATGATAAAAGCCCCCCGGGGTCGTGTAGACACCCATTTTCATCACTATAGAGATAAACTCTAAAGTAATGGCCTGAAAATGTTGGTGATTCTTATGTTGCAACAGCAGGACTTCCTTCCAATCATTAGTTTACATCTGCAATAGATGAGACCTATGGAAGTTCTCGTGGGTCTTTGGAGACCTGCAACTGACTCAAAAAGTGCGTCGGTGTCCTAGAAAATTCAAAACATTTGGGAGTGAGGTAACTAGACACGACGTAATCAATGAAATTTCGGTGGCATGGGGCTGAGGCCATTGTAGTCAGTATTACTTCCCTCGTAAGGAGGTAGTAATGAGAGATGCGGTCCCCCGTGAAATATGATTAAACACATGTCTGTTGGGAGACAAGTGAGTGGTCTTGGATAGGGTTCAACATGCACTGTTGGACAAGATGCAGTGACTTCTACCCGGGATCTGATTAAATCAGCCCTGAACCTATGGGGATTGTCCAGAGTATTTGAGTGGCTAGGAGTAAATGTTCAATGGATAGCAGGCAATTGAGGTAGCAGACTTATCATTGATTATTGTTTTCTTGCTCACTTGAGCCTTCTGCTTCCTAACGCTCATAATGTTCACTCACTCACTCGCTCACTCACTCACTTACGCTCGGCTTTGTCCCTTGGGTAGGCTTAGTTGGGTTTACTAAGCCATAGGGACATGTTCTCTCATTATTTTCTTGATTGTCTCTCTGTACTCCCCCTCAATCGGAGCACTCGGTATGCTTTGTCGTTGTCAGGCATCGGGGAGGTGATCATTGAAAACTCCCCCTAAAATGCTGCATCCTTTGAGAGATTCCTTGCTTTGTCGGTGAATGGCGCCAGGAGGAATTAACTGAAACTCCCCCTCAGAATGTGCAAGGTTTGGTTGCTCACAGATTGTCATACCCGCCATGTGTGTGGAGCAATCTGAACAGGTACCACACATGACGGTTCCCTAAGCTCATCATGTAGAATTTCAGCATATTGAGGATCACATAATGTTGATGAGTCAGGGGAGACTTCAGTGGTTGATTGTTGATTGTTGTAGAATGACCGTTGACGTGAGTTTGATTGAATTATCTACGATTTTCGGACCTGTTCATTGAAGCTTAGACCCTATTCGACCTTTGGTTCGACTTTGGAAGAATTTGATCAGATTTGCCTAAAATGACCTCTTGACATCGATGATTTACAAAGTTTGTCGGAAAACTAACGTTTTGACCCTCAAAGACTACGAGTGAGGGCGCGTGAAAATGGGTTGTGGGGTAAACCCCGAGAATAAATGTAGATCTTTTCGTTAGCTTTCCAACAAAAAAAGTTTGCTAAAATCGGATCACCGAATCAAAAGTTATGGCCAAAACAGTGAAGACATGCAAAAACTTTGAATTTTGAGATTTTGAGGAAATTTTCGAAGTTGAGGTTCTGGGTCTGGAATATCGAGATCAGGTGCATTTTAAAGAAAATTCTTAGGTAAATCCTCGAAATCCTAATCTCGGGGTTTAAATCCCGAGATTACAATCTCGAGGTTTAAACTTCGAGATTACAATCTCGAGGTTAAAACTCCGAGATTACAATCTCGAGGTTTAAAACTCCGAGATTACAATCTCGAGGTTTAAACTCCGAGATTACAATCTCGAGGTTTAAACTTCGAGATTACAATCTCGAGTTTATCCCTTAGAAGAACGTCGAAATCCACCTGCAAAAACAACACCTCAAGACTTCAAAATCTTTAGAATTTCAAAATGTTTAGAACATCGAAAACTTTGGATTTCGAAAGCGTCAGAATACCGAAAACTTGCTGTTTGAAAAACATCAGAACATCGAAAACTTTGAAAAACTTTGAAAAGCAGAGATTCATCCAAAAATCCTATACTTTAAGCTTCGAAATGTTCTGAACAGAAAGATATCAAGCTTCGAACGATTTTGAGTTTCATGAAACTCCAAACTTTGAAAGATTCAAAACATCAAGAAATTCGTAAAATATCAAAATCTTCAAAAACTTACCTGTCATATAAAAACCAGAATCTCGAGATCTTCCAAGGTATCGAGATCTAACAAAATCCCGAAATCTTTCAAGTTGAAAATTTCGAGTTTTGAAATTTTGAAAACAGTTTTGAAAATCCCTTGATCTCGCGATTCCTCCTGTACCAAATTCAAGTCAAAATCGTTTCTGCAGCGGTGAAAAAATAGGATCTCGAGATCTCAGTATAGAGATCTTCGAAATCGAAAAATTGCATAAATCGAAAACAAAGAAGTGATGTAGAATCGGTAAGAGGAGGCGATTCCAACAGTATAATTTTTACAAAGTTTTGACCAAAAACAATATCACAAAGGCCAATATCGAGATAATGAAATACTAGAGAAAAACAAAGTGTGTCGAGAAAGTAGATTCGAAAAACGCAGATAGATTCAACCTTTTTTACGCCTCTGCTCTGATATCAATTGATAAACCAAGTATTTAACAATCAAACAACCATAACAAGAAGAATAAGCAGATAGAAAGATATCGAGAAGATTAAAACCGAATCTGGTATACCGTATGAAACCCCGCTGCTCTCCCTCGAGAAGGAGAGCAACGGAAACCCTTCTTTCTATATCGCCTCTACGCACTCTAAGTCTCTTTTCGATCCTTAGGGTTCCCGTAAGTTAGCTTCCTTTTATAGGAGAAGTTGGCTAACTTACGAGTTACAAGGGAGCTAGTGGGCTGATACACATTTGTGGCCCATATTACACATCTAAATGCTAACTACATAAATACACACAAATACAAAGATATTCAATCTAGATTGGACACCATAAAATATTCCTAACAATTGCTTCGATTGCAACTGAGATGACACGATTAGGGTTTTAGATCTGATATTGCGTTAGGGTGAGTTATAGGAGGAAGTCCGGCGGCCTATCACATATGTAGTAAAGAAAAATCCCCCAAAAGCCAAATGGGCTAACATGAACTCTTTCTCCCTCTAAATTCTAGTTAATTGGAAACCAGAAATAAAGCTTGACTATTTGAACTATAACGGAAATTAAATTGAAAGTGAAATGCTAAAATCTCAAATGCATACATGGAGATCACAAACCAATATGAGTGAAGTCGTGATTTAGCAAGCATCGGAGGCCGATCAAGCATGGTGGAATGGGGAGGCGTAGAGGACGGACGATAGAGTGAAATCTCAAACGCTGGTCGAAAATCTCATACCTGCAGTTGGAAGTCTCTTTGTAGCTCTCCCAGATTTGAAAAACGCCGATCGAAAATCTCTTTTGCGTCTCTCCGTCGTTTTTCTCTGCGTCTGCCGATAGCTCTCCTATATGTCTCGCTGATAGCTCTCCTCTGTGTCTCTCTCATGATAGTATTTTATTTGGGGAAACAACATAAAAGTGAAATAAAAAACCAATATTAAAATGAGGACAATTAAAAATGAGAAAAAAATCAATGGGGCCATAAATGATACGTAGTATCATGCAATCAAAATCAAAAGTAGACTTTGTCTGAGACTTAGGAGGCGTTTACTTCGCTGCTAAAGTCAAAGTTAAGTTAATAAGACAGATGAAGTAAACACGCAAACTGTTTAAAAAGATGCTTACTAACCGAAAGAGGTGCTTAAAGTGCCGCTTACTAAGCATACCACCCCCCATGTATTAATTAATCGACACTTTAAACTTTTTCGGTTTCTGAATTTACCTTTACCCTTACCCTTTGCCCTTACCCTATTGTTACCCTCTACCCACCACGTCCCGCCCCTACCCTACCTTACCCTGACCCCATCCCTACCCTTCCGACCATAATCCCTTACCCCACCCCCACCTGTACCCTACCTCGACCCAATCTCGACCCCAACCCTGGCCCCATCCTACCCCACCCACTTACCTCTACCATACACACACCCTACCCCTTTACCCCTACCTCGTCCCCACCCCAACCCCGTACCGCACCCACTTACCCGACCCTCTACCCCTTCTTACCCAACCCTACCCAAGACCATACCCCTTACCCTCACCCGTCCTACCCCTACCTCGACCCGACCACTACCTCACACACTTACCCCCTACCCTACTTACCCACCCCAGCCCCTACCATACCCCGACAGTACCCCCTTACCCCTACCTCCACACCTACCCCCACCCCCTTACCCAACCCCTACCTCGACCCGACCTCGTACCCATACCCCACCATGTACCCCTACCCCACCCCCACCCACCTGTACCCCGACACCACTCCTTTACCCCCTGCCATATGCCCTTACCTCGACCCCACCCCACCCTTACCCTACCTCCCAGCCCTTACCACCTTACCCCTAACCATAACCCCTTACCCCCACCCCACCCCACATGTGCCGCTTACCACACACCCGGACCCTACCCATTTACCCCCGTACCATTTGATCCCTACCTCAATCCGACCACTATCCCACCCACTTACCCCTACCATACTTACCCCACCCCGTACCCCTTACCCTACCCCTACGCTACCCCTACCTCGACCCGACCACTACCTCACCCCACCCACCCGTACCCCGAACCTACCCATTTACCCCCTTCCATCTGCCCCTACCTCGACCCCACTCCGACCCCACCTCCACCCAACCCTTACCCTACCCCCGGACCCTACCCATTTACCCCTACCACCTGCCCCCTACCTCGACCCAACCCCACCCATACGAGTAGGGTAGGGGTTAATAGTTATATTAGGGTATGCGGGGTTGTAGGGGGTATGGGTAGAGGTTAAGGTAGGGGTAGGGTGGGGTAGGGGTGGGGGTACAGGTATAGAGGGAGGGTAGGGTTAGGGGTATGGATACACGTATGCGGTGACCCCCACATATTATATTATATATTTGTGTTCATGAATTTTTGTGTGTCTATATATGTATAAGGTTAGTTTGGACATTTTAATGTTAAATGATGTTTTAAATCATTTGAAGTAAACATGAACTTACAACATTGCTTATTTTATGCGCCGCTTATTAAGGTGAATCCTAATAAGCACCGTTTAATAACCCATGAATAAATATGTCCTTTAGTTTTTTATGTCGGGTAATTTGTCAAATTGGGCCACAAACATTAATCGATATCTCTCCCAGAGGTCCATAATCAAGGAGTACTAACTCTATAGGGTAAAGTGGTAAACCTCTGAAGAGCAGCCACCCTCGCCGGTCCATCACGGGGCTCCCAGTGTTCTACACCCAAGCTCCCGGCGGCTCCCGGCGGGAAGGATATTTCTGAGGGAAGTCGCAGGTGGAAGCAGCTTTTTGGAGAAGTAAGCAGCTGTAGTTTAAACCCAAAGGAACGGAAGGGAATTTCACAAATACCCTCTCGATCAGAAGCAGTTTTGGCGGGATAATTAATCAAACAATTAACTACGGAGTATTATCTTTGATAAATAGGTTATAGATTTCGTAACCCAAACAGAGGTGGTTTAAGATGAGGCACGGAAGAAGAGGATCCGGCGGCGGCGTGGAGTTCATAGTGCTCCGCAGACGCATAAAAGCATGTAGAAGCAAGTGCTCCACCGTTGAGCAGATCGTGAGCCACCTCCGCTCTGCTCATCCCGACTACAGCCGGAAGAAGTTGCAGCCATTTACCAAACGTGTACAGGACGTTTTCCAAACCATCAATTCTAGAGGCGTCTTGGTAGAGGACAGCAGCGGCGACGAAGTCAATCGCCCCAGTAAGATTCAAAAGAGAATAGACGAGAGGGAGAAGCGATTGCAGTGTATTGAAGCTCAACATCTCAGGAAGCAAGCCGCCCACCAGGAATCGTCGTCTCCTGTTTCAGAGTCTTCATCCGAGAGTAGGAGTGATCGTACGCTTACTTCATCCTCATCAGTGGACGCTATTTATGGAGAGAAGGTTGAGCCCAAGCATGATTTGATGCGGTCTTTGCTCCGTGAGCAATACAGTGAACAGAAGGTGAAAACAAATCCCAAATCGAATGCGAAGTTAATGGAAGTGGAGGTTGTGAATAACAATGATAAGGTGAAGAATAAACTTGCCTTACTGAAAGGGAAACCCCCTTTACCATCCCCACGAGATTCTACTTATGGCAAAAAGGATCCAGAATTTGGGAGAACAGGAATTCAAGGGAATGCTGAAAAACCTAATGTTGGGCCAAAGTTTAAGGACCTAGGAGGGATGGGTTCTGTGGTAGAGGAACTGAAGATGGAGGTGTTGGTTCCATTGTACCATCCTCAACTGCTGACACATTTAGGAATCAAGCCCATGTCTGGAATCCTCTTTTATGGGCCACCAGGGTGTGGGAAGACAAAACTAGCTCATGCCATTGCGAATGAAACTGGAGTTCCCTTTTACAAAATCTCTGCTACTGAATTGGTCTCTGGAATTTCAGGTGATATGAACATTTTTCTTTGTCGCTTGTTTTACATTGCTAGTCACTGTATCAGATGAATCGAATCTTTTTGGGTCCATAGACATGCTCTTACAAGACACTTCGCATTTTCCCCAGTTCAGTGATATAACTGTAGGGAATTAAAAGCAATTCTTTTTTTTGCATTTAATTCGGACTCATTAGTTCACTGATAAAACAGGGTCTTGTTTAAGATACTGGTTCCATTTTATATGTAGTTGTTGGTATGAAGTGATAAGGTACTTTCAAAGATTCGGAGTGTGTATGTGTTCTGATAAATCAGTTACTTACAATTCCTGATAACATGATTTGCTGCTCGGTTTCTGATATATTACCTCCGTCCCAATGGACTTTGCACTCTTTAAGTTGGGTGAGAAATAAGAATAGTAAAAATTGTGTGATTGAAGTTTGTGCAGAGGAGAGAGAAATAAGTAGAATCACAAAATAGTTACTTTAATGGGAAAGTGGCAAAGTTTTTTGGGACAACAAAAAAAGGAAAGATGGCAAAGTCCAATGGGACGGAGGGAGTATGTATATACAGCACTTTGACTGCTTTATTCTCCCAACAAACTGGTATTAGAGTGAAGCTAATGGCAGAAATTGGGGCTGGTCTTTTCTTCATGACAGTGACATGCATTTGCTTTGCTTTTGTTAGCTGTTCCGTGTTGTCTTGAGTTTGACTTGGTACTAAAAGAATACATGTTGCATATTGCAGGAGCATCAGAAGAGAATATACGAGAGCTGTTCTCAAAGGCATACAGGACAGCACCATCTATTATATTTATTGATGAGATTGATTCCATTGCCTCAAAAAGAGAAAATGTGCAGAGGGAAATGGAACGACGAATTGTGACACAATTGATGACTTGCATGGATCAATCACATAGAACCGTGGAGCGTTCAGATGGGAATTCTTCTTCAGAGCACTTAGATGGGGGGCATGGAAATGCATTTCCAGAAGGTTCTGATGCAAAATCCGGACATGTTTTAGTTATTGGTGCTACAAACAGACCTGATTCCATTGACCCTGCATTGAGGAGACCAGGTCGATTTGATCGTGAAATTGTTTTAAGTGTTCCGGATGAGAATGGCCGGTTTGACATTTTGTCCGTGCTAACACGTAATCTTAAAGTTGAAGGTGTGTTCGATCTCATGAAGATAGCAAGATTGACCGCGGGATTTGTTGGGGCTGATTTGGTTGCATTGGCAAATAAAGCCGGAAATCTTGCAATGAAGAGAATTATAGACCAGAGAAAGACTGATCTCTCTGGAATACCTGTAGATGGTAAACAGAATGAAGAGTGGTGGAAAGAACCATGGTCTCCTGAAGAGATGGAAAACGTCAGCATTACCATGGCTGATTTCGAGGTATGTGTTGCAATGAGGTTCTCATAATTTTGACATATACTTGCAAGAGTGGCACACACAACTGTTTAACTACAACGGTTGAATCTTTTTTGTTAAATGAGTTTAGTTCATTAACCTCGTATTCCAGTGTTGATGAATTGATTTCTTTATCAGCTTCGTCTTTGGTGCCAAAAATTAGCATGTTTCTTATGAAATTCCCATTCCTGCTTCTGGTATTCTCACACACACACTAGTTTCTTTTTAGGATCTCAAGTTCTTGATATTTTCTGTTTATAGTGGCATTAAATGTCATATCTACCTGATTGATTGCAGCAAGCAGCCAAAATGGTTCAACCTTCTTCCAGACGGGAGGGATTTTCGTCTATTCCAAATGTTAAATGGGAAGATGTCGGAGGGCTTGAGTTGTTGAGGAGGGAGTTTGACCGTTATATTGTTAGGCGTATCAAGTATCCAGAGGTGTATGAGGTATTCATTTGTATGCATTTCATTCATGCACTGGATTGACTAGTTAATCTATGTTTCATGCAATCATTATTGCAACTGTTTTCCCCTTCTATTGTCTTCTGCCTCCCATCCATTGAACCACATTGCAATCAGTTGTCAACTTGTCAGTAAACTCCACTCGTGGTGGACTTTAATG